TTAAGAACTGCTTGGCCCATGAACTCTAGCCCTTACAGGCTAATTCTCGCACCTGGACTAGCCCATTTCTAATGATGTGTGTAAGCACCCCAAGGTGCGCTTATCGGGAAGAGTCTAGCCTCCGTCCATCCTGGTGTCTCTGCTCCAGAGAGCAGAGCAGTTGGGTCTCTCTGGGAGCAGAGCAGAGTCTGACCTCACTTCCTCTTCAGCCCAGCATCCTATTCTGTTTATTCCACCCACCTATGTTCTAAGCTATGAGGCCAAGCAGTTGGTTTATTATAATTAACTAATTACCTTCCTCCATCATGTTGGGTTTTTTTTTTTTTCTCACCAATGGGCTCTTCGCATTGTGAGACAACAGGAAGCAGAGAGTCTGAACCAGAAGCTTAGCTGGCCCTCACCCCTGGCCCTCCGTCTGCCAGCTAGGCCCATTCCCCAAAGGCTCCATAATCTCCCCAAACCTTTACCAATGGGGTCTAACAGTCCAAGTGCACGATGCCAGGAGGGACGGTTCGTATTCAAACCTGCAGGACTCAGGAGACCTCTGTCCATCTCTCCACTGTCTCTAAATCAGTGTCTCAGGCCTTTGTCTCCCAGAAGCTGCTTGGAGCTCGAGTATGTCGAACGTTCCAAGCCTTTGTATGCACTGTTGTTCCCCTTTGCTTTTGTCTGTCATGATGAAGAAGATGACGACGATGATGATGATGGCTGATACATAGAGGACCAGCTGTGAGCCCGTCCCTGGTGCAAGTGTTTGCTCTTTCTCACTCTCTTCCTGAAGAAGCTTTAGGGTCTAAAGTGGTGCTGAGCTCATCTTCCATGAGAGGCTGGTACCATCGCCTCAAGTTTGGAAGTAAGATTGCGAGATGATAGTATTCTTGAGGCACGCACTTTTTTTAAAAATTATTTTTTAGATTTTTAAATTTCATTTTACAATCCAACCACAGTTCTTCCTCTTGCCCCCTCCCATCTTCCCCCAGTCCATTCCCCATCCATTCCCCCAAAGGGTAAGGGGAATCAACAAAGCCTGGCCCATTAAGTTGAGGCAGGACCAAGCCCCTCCCTCATGTATTAAGGCTGAGCATGGCATCCCACCATAGGGAATGGGCTCTGACAAGCTAGCTTTCAGGGGTCTTTCAGATAGACCAGAATACACCACTGTCTCCCACATGCAGAGGGCTTAGTTTGGTCCCTTGGAGTCTCCATAGCTGTGAGTCTAGAGTTTATGAGTTCCCACGAGCTTGGTTCAGCTGTCTCTGTAGATTCTTCCATCATGATCTTGACCTCTCCTGCTCATATTTTTCCTCCTCTCTTCAACTGGATTCCCGGAGCTCGGCCTAGTGCTTGACTGTGGATCTCTGCATCTGGTTGCATCAATTACTGGGTGAAGGCACTGTGATGATAGAGTATTCACCAATCTGATTACAGGGGAAGACCAGTTCAAGCACCTTCTCCACTATTGCCAGGAGTCTTAGCTGGGGTCATCCTTGTGGATTCCTGGGAATTTCCCTAGCACCAGGTTTCTCTCTAACCCCATAATGTCTCTCTCTATCAAGATATCTCTTTCATGGATCTCCCACTCCGTTTGTCCCCCAACTTGACCTCCTGGTTCCCTCATGTTCTCATCCCTCCTTCCCTCCTCTTTACTGCTCTCTGTTCTTGCCCCCAGTTTACCCAGGAGATCTCATCTAATTCCCCTTCCCAGGGCGATCCGTGCCTCCCTCTTAGGGTCCTCCTCCTTTCCTAGCTTCTCTGGAGCTGGAGGCACACACTTAATTGTAGCTGAATATTATTATAAAGCTCTAAGACTGCTGTTTTCTACCTCGGGTGCGTGTTTCTGTATCTGAGTATTATTAGGAAAATTAAAACGATACTAACAATGACTAGGAAATGACTTCAGCGTACTGTGCATTCATAAAAGCAAGCTTATTTTGTTTACCTCTGGCTGTGGCCACAGCATATGAAGCAACTTCCTGGCACATAGAAGAGCATAATATAAATTAATTTATTAAGTGACTCAGTGAATGCATGAATTAATGAAATGCCTGTGAGGGAATGCTGTTTCCCAAGTCATCCTCTTTACGCTTGCCTCTGCTCTTCTTCACACGGTCCACCCCTGCCCAGATGACAGTCTCCCTTTCACAGTGTGGCCTTTCCTGCCGTGGTTGGTCTTCATGGCAGGTCACAGAGGATGCAGCAAGGTAAGAGCAATGACTCCAAATGCCGCTGCTTCCTTAGCATGCTGCTTGCCAGTCTTCCACCCAGGGTGCGATGGGACAGGTGAGCACTCTCAAAAGTGATGTCGCCGAGGTCGAGGCTCCAGAGCAAGGCCGTGGTAAATGAGAAAGAGCTCCTCCATCGCTTGTCTTCCCTTCTCGATGACGAAGGCAGTTCCAAGCATCTCAGAGCAAGCCGAGGACTGGGATTCAGGAGGCACCAGGCATACCGTGGTATTGTCCACATCCAGACTTGGAGTTTGAGGACAAAGTCCCGAAGATCAATGGTCTTTACAATCTGAGATTTTTCAGAGTTCATCTTCTTGCAGGTGGTAGTGAGGGGCAGGAGCCAGCATGGCTAAGGCAGGTAGTTGGGTACAGTCCTGTGGGTGAGGAGGGCAAGAACCAGCATGGCTAAGGTAGTTGGGTACAGTCATGTAGGTGAGGGGCAGGAGCCAGCATGGCTAAGGTAGGTAGTTGGGTACAGGCATGTGGGTGAGGAGGCAGAAGACATGAATGGTGCTTAGAGATGGAACCAAGACACATAGATAGCTTGCTTTATCGGCCCGAAGAGACACTGAATGTACATCCTTCAGGGACCAGAGTGTCATTCAGGAGGAACCAGCTCTGCTCACATGACAGGAAGAAATAAGACAGCGATCAAATGGCAATAAAAGCTGGGAAAAGAGAAGTAACCTCAAATGGATATTTCTTTACACAGGGAAAAATGCAAGTTTTGTTACGGCACAAATGGATCCTTTTAGGAAAACAGAAAATTGAGATCAGCAAATGGAATAGCCACTCAAAGAAAATTGGTTTTGCGTGTTATGCCGTACCCTCCCTGACTTGGGGTGTGGACTGTGTCTTTGTTCTTCTGTGTTTGAAAGTGGCACCACGCTTACGCGCAGCTTGGGGCCCAGAGTGGATTAAATTTTGTGACTCTAAAGCTTTAAACGCTGGGAGTCTTTAAGAAAATATTTTAAGGTTATGAATGCAAACGCACTAGGGAAGGGTTCTGGAATTCAAGCTTCATTATTGTGGTACACAAAAAATTCCTTTTCATGCCCTAGTTTGGTTTATTTACTCATTTGTTCATCTGTTTTCTATTTGAGTATTGATACATAATAGACATCCACCTACCGTTCCTACAAGCCCCTTTCCCCTCTCATTTTCATAACATCTATAATGGTATATTATTTGTGCTTTAATAATTAAAGCTTTCCTGAAGATCAGAGGGCAAAGCAGCTATGCTCGTCAGCCCTACAGGCCAAGGAGTAGTGGCACACACTTTTAATCCCAGGACTTGGGGGACAGAGGCAGACAGATCTCTGTGAATTCAAGTCCACCCTGGGCTACACAAGATTGACTCTATTTAAAAGAGAAACAGAGCTCACACAAAGATGATCCCAGCACTTGGGATCATCCGCTTTTAATCCCAGCACTAGGAAGGTGGAGACAGGAGTGATGTAACTGGGTGGAGAGAGGAATATAAAAGGGAAGAGACAGGAATTCTTCCTGGGGATTCGTGGAGACAGGATCTCCCCGCTTTTGGTCTGAAGATTTGGCAAAGGTAAAAGGTCTCTCTAGTGGTTGGCTTCTTTGTTTTTCTGATCTTCAGGCTGAACCCCAATGTCTGTCTCTGAGTTTTTGTTATTTGTGTTAGAGACATCGGAGAAATTAAAATTCAGTAAGACCACATTGGGCACCTAGTGTGTACCTGGCACTGAATGAGGAGGTTGAGACACCCAGCCAAGTCCTCCTCCAAACAGGAATACAGCAAATAGGCGGAGTGGTGAACCCCAGGGAAACCAGAACAAAGCCTCCAGTTCAGTCCACCTGCTTTCATTACGGATTTCAGAGGTGCTACCGCTAATCTGCATGCCTCATTAGTTCTGCTACCCAGAATACCTTCCATGTGTGGTCACTATGGAAACGAGGGTTTGTTTTTCAGGAACCTGGAGGTCTTTATCTATCTGAAACCAATTGAGGTTTTTCTTTCTTTCTTTCTTTCTTTCTTTCTTTCTTTCTTTCTTTCTTTCTTCTTTCTTCCTTCCTCCCTTCCTTCCTTTTTTCTTTTTTTCTTTCTCTTTTATTTGCCTTTGAGCAGGAGTCTTCTGGTTGTCCATTTCATTCTCAGATCCAGCTGACGCCTGTTTTCTGAGCACGAGCCCTCTGAAGACTTGTGGGGTTTGACCGTACAAGCGCAGACAATTGGTTACTTCAGTTTACCCTAGTGACCATTGTTTTTTCTACACCTGAGATCATCTTGTTTTTAATCCCATAAATACCATTAAATCCTAGCCTCAGGGAGCTAGATTTGGGAGTTTGGGTTCTTGGATCATTTAGATTTGTGCCTCTCAAATAAAATAGAACTTTTCTATTTTGCAAACTCCCCATTTCAGAGGCTGGTATATGACAAACGGACGTTGTTGGCACCAGACGCTGGAGAGCTGGAATCCCCTGATGGCCTGTAAATTCATAGAGTGGGAGAGGGAGCCCCGGAGCATCAGCATTCAAATCGCTCCGGCTGAGGACCTGCCCAGAAACTTCTCTGCCTGCTTCTCTCCAACCGGACTCCTGGGACTAGAGGCCCACTTGCTGCGCTGAGATCTTTTCTCTACCCCGCTAAAGCGCATGCTCTAAGAGCCTCTCTTCTAACAGTATGGCGATGGAACTCGGTCCTGAGAGCTATCAAAAATAGATGTCATTATGACAATGATATGAATAATGCAGTTCCAAAAATGGGGAGAACGGATTTGAGGATTATAATTAAATATAGCTCGAACGTTCTTTAAGGTTAATCGCTAGCACTCCGCGTTAGAGCCATTTAATCGTTTTCTAGTGCATGGTGCATAAGGCGAAGGAAACTGTTCCCAGGGAAATTCAGTGGCAGCACAGAGCAAAAATAACGCGTTTTCTGTTTTAATGTGTTTGCTCACTGCTTTGAAAACAGTGTCAGCACAACCCCGTTCAAGCACACACAGGTACACTTTTAAGCTGTAATGAAAAGCTACTAAAGTTTAAACTTTTTTTTTTAATTCTGTAAAAGTGATAGGATTCTTTTTAGCAGCCACCCAGTAGCTTGTGTGGGTGCGAGATTCTGGAGACCCAGTTCTCAGATGACAGTAGTGTGGTTCGAAAAGAACTCTTCTGGAACCCAAGTGTATTAACTTTTCTGTTGCCGTGGTAACAAACATACGGATGAAGACAATTAAGAAGGAAAGTTTGTTTGGCCCGACCGTTCCAGTTTAGGGTCCATACCGGCAGGGACATAGTGGTGAAAGCTGGGAACTGAGAGCCGAGAAATCATGTCTCAAAATGGTTGAGTCTTTGAACTCTCAAACCTAGTGTATTGGTGAGAGTTCTCGAAAGGTACTGTAAGGGACCTGAGCCAGCTTAGCACACCCGAAAACCAAGTGCTTGGCACAAAGGAGATTTATTGAGATAGAGACAGGAGATAGAGGATGAGGGAGAAGGGGAAGGAAGGAAGGAGGGAGAGGGGTAAGGAGTGTTTGTCCCAGAGGACAAAGGACTGCCTCTGGATAGAGGAGACAGATGTAACCCATAGGAAAATAGCGGTTTATAAAAGTAAAGGGGGAAACCCCATGTTAGGATGAGGTGTTTAATTTAATTGGACATGTTAGTTAGGTGAGCCACAGGGCTTTTGATTGTTGGACTTCCATACTTTAATAACTGGACCTTGGTAGTCAGCCTCAGGAGGAAGAATTGGCCAAAGAAAGCAATGGGTCTTGGAGCTAGCTTTAGGAAATGTAATGTGGTTTTAGCAAGGCCGAGGAAATCCGGGAAAGGGCAAAGCCTGCCAGAGCCGTGTTTAACCATGCTCGGGCTGTCTCATGAAGAGAAAGGACAGAACTCATTAGAGTAGCTGATAAGCTGCGGTCTGAGTAGTTCCGCAATGGCGGACTTCCGACAGAAAGATGAGGGATCCAGGAGCTGTTCAGTCTACCAGACTGGATGTCTCCAATTGTCCCAATCAAGTGTGGGAGTCCCAGGAAAGTCCTAGAGAGCTGCCAGTTTGCACTCCGGGTTGGAATCCTTGAGAAATAGGTTCTAACACTAGCAAAGGAAGACCTCAGGAACAGGGTAGATGAATTTGCCAATGAGAGTGAAGGCAAGCAGGCAAAGAGCAAACTTCCTTCTTTCATGGTTTTTTTAAGTAGCTGTCACCAGAAGGCGTGGGTCTTCCCACCTCAGATGAGCTAATCAAGAAAAATGGCTCACATGTGTGCCCAGATGCTTAGAGTGGTAGTTTGAATGTAATTGGCCCCCATAAGCTCATAGGGAGTGTCATTATTAGGAGGTGTGACTTTGTTGGAGTTGGTTTGGCCTTGAAGGAAGTGTGTCACTGTGGAGGTGGGCTTTGAGGTCCTTTTTGCTCCAGCTTCACTCAGTGTGACACACAGATCACTTTCTGTAGTCCGCAAATCAAGATGTAGGACAATCAGCTCCAGGTCTGCCTGCACGCCACCATGTTCCACCACGATGACAATGGACTAAACCTCTGTACATGAAAGTCACACCAATTAAATGTTTATAAGGGTTCCTGTGGTCATGGTATCTCTTCACAGCAATAGGAACTCAACTGAGATACTGAATGAATGATTGGAAGCATCACCCCAACCCCTAGCCTGGGAGTTGCATTGTCTGGACTTCAACTCCCAACCTGCCTAGTGCTGACTCCTCCCTGGGGAGGGTCAGGACCACTCCCACAGGCTATTTAGGCTTGCACCCAAATAAGGAACACGTGCTCTCCAGGGTTTGTGTGGGTCCATCTCCCCTGCCGTGCTGCCTCAGTCCACCCAAGAGTGCTGCATTTATTAAACACAGACATTTTAATTTGCTCTAATCCACTTTAATTGGAGTTATTTGCATCGGTGGAGTGGGTATTCTTAAGATTAAACCAAACACTGAATTTAGTTAATTCTAGATGTAGTCAAATTGACAACCAAAATCAGCCATCATACGCTCCTCCAGTGGAATATTTCCTTTAATGAGGCCACGCCCCCTACATCTACTAAACCCACCACCAACTGGGAGCGAGCATTCACATGCCCCAGACAATGTGGGGGGGGGGCATTTCTCACTCTAACTGAGGTATTTATCAAACTACTGTGTATAGAGAACCTAGCTCAAGTATTTAAGAAAAATCTCAACTGATCTCAGTGGTCAGGACCAGATTTCAATAACCAAACCACACGAAGTTAGGGTTCAAGCATCAGAAGATAGCCTGACAAAGAGCAATTACTCATTTGCAGAATGGAATACTATATGGTTGCAAAATGAGATGGCTTTTCAGGTATCTACCTCCAGATGATTCCAAAAGGGCTGGACATGATGTACTGTTACTTATGGAGAAAGGGGCAAAAAGATGTGCACTTGTTTGAAGATAGATTTCATCTCTTGGAGGATACACAAGGACAGCAGCTATGACAGGGAAGGATGGGAAAGTTCACTGTGTGTCTTTGAAGAGATATGTACCTCCCCACCTCCCACCCCAGCCCTGGTATTTACTGGGGGCCGCATACATGATAGGCAAGAGTTCTACTCCTAAACCACATTCCCAGCCCTCTTCTTAGTTTCAGTGTAGGGTCTCACTAGGGTACTCGTGCTGGTCTCGAACTCACTCATAAGATCAAGCAGGCTTTGAATTTGTGATCTTCCTGTATTCCCCCAGGCCAGGCTCTTTGTGGAATTTTGACTCAAGTTACTGTATTTCTTTCTCTAAATAGAAATAAAAGCCCAAAATATAATTAGTTGCCACCCAAGGAAGCATTACCATTTCTTGAATACAATCTGATTTCTAGCCTGGAAGTCAGATGTTATCACATTCTCTTTAAGCGTGTCCTTAGGAAAGTAAGCCACGGGCAGCAATCCATCTCAGTTTCCCCTTGCTGCACAACTAACAGGAAGCAAAACTGCAGGGTATGGAGTCTTCATCCTTGAAAAGGGTACTGTTGCTTCCTGTGCCATTCCTTCAGTTCCCTTGTGAGAGGGGAACGGGTAGAAGGTTCCAGCAGAGAAGCCCAGTTGGATTCCACATCCACTTTCTGAATTGTGTAGTGATTGGCACTTTGCTCTCCACCCCCACGTTATGATGGCGGCCGGTAGAGCAGAGTTAGGGATTTCCTCCCACCTGGGCTGAGGCGGGAATGTGCTTGGAAGCTGCCTACAGCTGCTTGGCCGTCCAGGCTGGGAAGCCTGTGACTCGTGGAAGAGAGACACGTGGAACTTCCTAACTGCACATTTCCGATCCTTAAAACATGGTTGGATATCTCTTTGCTTCTGCTACACGATTTCATAGGAGAAGTCTCCTGGGAGAAGAAGCAGGGCTTTATTTCTGCTCCTCTTGGTCACTCTGGAGGTGACGTTTTTGTTTCTTACAGCAGCAAATGTATCTAAAATAAATAGCAGAAGATGAGTGTTAGTGGAAAAGCAGAGACTTTCTGGCTCATCAATAATTGGACAGGGATAAAATAGGCACTCAGGGGCCACTGCAGAAAAGGTTCTCTAAGTTCTAGGCTGTGGAAGGAAATGGATGCTCTGGCCAATATCTGAAAACAATTCAGAGGCATTTGTGCTTCCAAGAGGCCCCCTAAGACCTTGGTCTCGTCTAAATGTCCTTGCATTTCAGTGCCTGTCAGCAATATCGCAGAACCCAACAATGATGCATTCCTTGAGCAGTTCACCCTCTTCCTGAGTGACACCCCTAACATTGCTGCTGATACAGATGGCTGGCCCCCAGATGACAGGGCAAAACCGAAGTTCAAGTGATGTGTTGGTATTTCCTCCGTAAGAACGCACGTACTAGACTCCCAAAGTGGGAGGTGGTGGGCCTGAAGACCATGGCAGTTTAAACTTGGGATAAAAAGAAATCAAAGAAGAAAGAAAAACTCCAATATTCTGCTTGGCGCGGCATTCATAAACTCCAATGTGTTTCCTAGCCACCCAGCTACCCAAGCAGGTCTTCCACTTCTCAGACTTGTCATTTGTAAGGCAGACACTAACAGCTCACCTCTCAGGGCTCTCAGGAGGATGAAATGAAATAGTGGACACCTCCAAGGCACCCAGCCCATGAAAGCCCTGTGGCTGCTTCTGTGAGGAGGCTGGGATGGGACAAAGCAGCAATGCCTTGGGAGGAGGCCAGGTCAGAAGGAGGACTGTTCTTCCTTTGTTGTTGCTGTTTTGCTTTTTGTTTTTTTTCCAAGCTGGTCCCTTCCTGCTAGGTCCCAGGAATATTATCCCCCATCCTGCAGGCTGTCACTTCTGTGTGAGTCCCCAACCCCTCTGCATCTAATAAGTCAACTGTCCTTGTTTATCTTTGGCTCCTGCCACATTGTCAAACAGGCTATCCCAGAGCTGATTTGTATCCAACCCAGACTGTAATCGACACAGTTATCATATCGTAAAACCAAGGTCACGGGAGGGTGAAGATGGGTAAAGAATCTATTAGGTTCAATGAAATAATATGAATAAATCATCTTGATTTAAAAAAAAGCATGACTGCGGGAAAACGCATAAACTTAAACAACACCACATTTTTATGGGATTTTATCACTTGCTTCTTGCCCTTTGTGGCTTGCTGGCACCTTGATTTTCAGTTTGTCCAATGCAGAGTTCTCTATTGTCTGCCATAGCAATTCTGTAGAGAAATGTCCCCAGAAAATAGTTAAAGAACTATATATAATATCTATAATGAGATCCAGGCGGCTTTCAGCCATATTATTTCTTTTTAAATCCATTTGTGTGTGTGTGTGTGTGTGTGTGTGTGTGTGTGTGTGTGTGTGGTTGGCTAGGTCTTTTGGGAGTAGGTCCCACTGTGTAACTCCCTCCACAAACCTGGAATTCACTCTACAGATCAGGTTGGTCATGACCATGAAGTGGTCTTACCTCCACTTTCCAAGTATGGGATTACCGGCATGAGCCATCATAATTCTGTATTTTAAGTATTTGCCTATTTCTATTATTTTTTATGTGTGTAGGTGAGGGTGGGTATGTGCCGATGCCTGCAGGTGCCTGCAGAGGCCAGAGACATCAGAGCCCAAGGAGAAGGAACTGTTCATGTGGGTTCTGGGAACCCAGCTTGTGTCTTCTCCAAGAGCAGTAGGAGCTCTCAGCTGCTGGGCCATATCTCTAGTCCTTTGTTTGCTTGTTTTATGTATTTCCTTGTTTTGTTTCTGAGACAAGGTCCCATTCTGGAGCCTAAACTCTTCCTGCTTCAGGCTCCCGGGGTGCTGGGATTAAGCACATAGGCCACCACACTCAGGTCAGATAATTTCTTATTGACTACTTGAAAGTGAGAAGTTGTGGGTATCAACTTTATGTTGAGTTACAAGAGTCTTCTCCAAGGAAGGTTTCTAGCAGTTTCCTTCCCAAACCCAGGTAGAGATGAGTGCAATGACATGTTGGGGGATGGGCATCCTCTTCTTACCTTAGGACCAGCACAGCCCTGGATCTGAAAGGATAGGTTCTGCTGTACTTCTGGGGCACTCTAGCAGTAACTTAGGGTCTCCCTAGTTCTTCCACAGTCACCTTATGTCTCGCGCACCATGTCTTTCCCAGGTGGGTGTGATTAATGCCCTACAGAAAACACCAAGCCCTGGTCCACAGAACACAGAGAGACTGTTGAGGTAAAAATGGCAGGGCTCTGGACTGCCTGCACTTTGAAGACACATACATCAGCTCCAACAACATGAGCCTGCTTGAGCTGTTTTCTGCTCTGTCTGATTTCGCTCAAGCAATCCAGCTTGGGTGAGAACCATGAGGGCTTTCCTTGTCTTTCTGTTGCATAGTAACTAGTCGGTGTTTTCTAATTTTTTCCATGCTCCAATCTCTGAGCCTATTGTCCCCTGTAGGCAACAGCTCTTTTTGTTGGTAAACAGCAGTGGTTTAGAGAAGTCTTATTTGAAGAAGTCTGTCATTGTGTACCAAGCGCTTTCAAGTGTATTTGTGAAAGAGTTAGAAGTACATTATATTTATGCCATTACTGCTCCTAAATATTTATACACAGTCACAGTTTAGAGGTATCTGGAGGCCTTTATATTTATTTAATTTATATATTATATATATTATATATTTTATTTATATATATTATATATATTATTTATATATATTATTTATATTATATATATATATTATTTATATAATTTATTTAAAAAGCTGTTTTAAATTAATCCAACAGAAGGCCAATATAACAAGACAAATAGAGCCTAGCCCACCTTTGGTCAACCATGTCCCAGAAAGATAGCAGGTGCTTAAATAAATAGTCCATGCTGGCGATTGTTCCACCCACTTACATAAGCAGCGTGACAGATGGGGGCGTTTTAGCCTCGCTCAGCACTTCTCCTGGGATATGTCAACATGGAGTTTAGATTTGTGGGCTTGTTTTAGGGGCCAGTATCTTCCTGACCCCAGCCTTCTAGCTTATCGGGACTCAGATAAGATGTGTTTCGTCCTGTGCTAGCCCAGTAGTTCTTTCTTTCCAAATAGTAACAGATCAATCATGCGTCATCTCTGTAAGGATTTCCATTTCTTTGTGGCATCACCCTTCAGGGTCTAGGGATGCCTAGGACCACAGGCTTGTGTGATTCCTTTTTCTCCTGTTAGGATTGTAGGTGAGACAAATGACAAGCAGGGCGGTTTTATCTGGGTGACTAGACGTCTAACAAAACGTCTCTGTCTGGGCTGCATCCGTGCAGAAGTGTTTGCAACCCTGTGAGAGACAGGCTCTTGGCCTTTGACACAGCTAACAGTTTTGCATGCATGGCCTCCGTCAAATTTCATGAGATCTATCTAATTTTGAAGAGACGTGTTCCTGGAATTTTTTTTTTAACCAGGAAAAAAAAATGAACGGATCCATCTTCCTCCTCCATTTTACCGAGTGTGCCCGCCCCCGCCTCACAGCTCTTATAGGAGCACAGGGGAATTTTAGCTTGAGTTAGGAACCTTGTCCCTCAGCACAATGTAGAGAAGACAGGTAGTGAGCGGCAGGGAGGAGCTGGCATGACGGCATAGGTCTGCCCGTCTGTCATTCCTACAGAAGAGTGTCCCTGTGTGGGTGGGGACAACACACCAGCAGCATCTTCGATTAAAGGCCACTATTCACTGCTCTGGTATTGCACCTTCATTTAAGAAAAATACAACAAAAAATAAATACTCTCAAAACTGCAAAAACTTGATTTTGCAAAACATGTGAGCAGTTATTACTTTACCGCTGTCATTTGTCAAAGATCTTGGCATCTGGCTGCCTTACACTATGTTCAATTTTTGTTTCGCACATAGTATAACTAGCAGACACACTGCCTACGTACATATATGCATACATATATATTGTATGTATTGACAGGTAGCATTTTTATTACTTATGTAAACATTGCACATAAAGCATTGTCGCAAATACTCAAAACCAACATGGAGTTCCCCCTCACCGAAGCTGTATTAAGTGACGGAGGCAGAAAAATGTCCCATGTTCCAGCACAATGAATCATCGGACATCAGACTGACTCTACTTAACCTTCCCTCCGTGACTGGCACCCTGGATGTGTGTGCGGTGAACATTAGCGCTCTGCTAACGACGCCTTCACATCTTCCTGCTATTGATCTGCTTGGGTTCCAACTCACTAAGCCCAGCTGCTCCCTGCTCACGGGGAGAAGATGCTGAACAAGCAGAGGGAGGAAGGAACCAACCCAGGAGGCTGGT